TGCGTATGAAAAGTTGGATCGGGGATAGATTTTGCATATGGCCAGATATTGGGCCGCCAGCTTTAACAGTTAAGTGTGTGTATATCCCAAAATCTATATAAAAATAAGCCAAACCAATGTTGTTCAAACCAATCCGAGCCCACCTAGACTCACAAACCAGATGTAAACCAGGACTGAACCAGCAAACAAGTATGTGTCTTCCTTCAGGGCTGCCAACTCTCACACTTTCACAGTGAGACAAATGCATTTTAAAGACTTAAAACGGTCACACGCCATACTCCCGATATCAAACGGCAAGACAAAATATATCAATTCCTTTTTATGTTATTATTTAACTTTGTGGCATACAATTTGACAAAAACAAAATTGTATGCATCTTTAAGATTTAACCAAACTTTTCTCATAAAAGGTAATTTTTAAAGCGCAAGGAAGAAAAAAAAAATTAACTGAAGAATACTTTCCCAAATTAAAACATACAGTAATGCTCTAAATGCTATAAACCTCCCCATAGTCTCACTCAAAGGTTTTTCACAAAAGTTGGCAGCCATGTGTTTAGGAAGATGAGCTATGGGGCCAGTCCAGACTGCTTGGTGGGCTTGATTTGACCCCTGAACCTGAGTTAGACAATACTTTCCACAAAACACACAATCTAACATTGTTAGATTTAGAATTTTGTTGACAATTTTGCACATTTGATCCCGGTTTAAAAAAATAAGATGGGTTTGATCGCAACACACAAGACTCCTCCGTTAAACTCAAATATCACTTCACTTCATAAAATTGAAAATAACATATATAAGAACATATGTTTATTTACTTGAGTGCCATACATTTGTTAATGTCAAACTTTTCTTATGGGAGCAGGGATGGACCCACTCACCCATCGACTTGCATCTTCTCGCAATCTTGTAGCAGTTTTGTAGCAGGGAAAATAAAATGTATGTTACTGTTAATGCTGGCACTGAAATATTGCCCGAAATAAAACATAAATGAGTGATGTAACTTAAAGCAGATACATAGTGCAAGACTGTCTTTCTATGAACTTTAAACTATGTTACATTTTGCTCTCATCACCAACTCCTGGAGCCCTGAAGCTGTTTTTTACACGCCATTCTCACTAATATCAGCAACTTCTAGCCAAATCCTCTTCCCCTTACGTCTAAACACCTCATCTCAAAATGATCATGTTTGAGGGACAGGTCTTGCCTAGAAGAGTTCCTTCAAATATTTAAGGAGAACCCCCAGACCATTTGAGCAAGCGTCAGGGAAAACTTACGGGTTAAAAGACTGCTGTGCGCGAGAAGAAAAAAAAACGCTTGGCTAATGGGCACATCAAGTTCTTTTCCCATCTCATCGCTGCGTTGTCAAATCAATGGCTTCGTTCGCTGCCTTATGGATCGAGCATCGGCAGCTCTTGGATGGAATTATACTCCGCCGGCAGCTTTCCCGCAGGCTCTCCAACTCCAAAGGATCTTTTTGACGACTAAATCACTCGGTGTTCAGCCCCCTGCCCATTAAGAACAATACAACTAGGCCTACAGCTCAGGAAGTAATTAAGAATAGAGCCCCGTAATCCTACTGGAAGTCTGAGTTGCCGTTGCGGAGTCAGAAGAGTTCTTACGTCGATAATATTGAAAGATTCCAGGGAGCTCTTAGACATTATGAGTTTGGGATATTGGATCTTGTCTGTCTTAGAAAGAGGGCTAGGGGTAGAGATGTTGGCTGGGTTTTAACTTTAGAGAGTGTACCAATTCATTGAATTTCATCTATTGAAGCAACCTACTCAATGTTCACGCCATAGTTTTACGTTGACAAATTGAGAGAGCTTTGTTGTTGGATTTCTTGTACATTGTACATTGGTTTGTCATGAGCTGAGTAGTAAGCTTAAGAATGAGGTTTTGCGGGGGGTTTGGATGGACGAAACATAGAAGCCTCTTGCTCGAAGCTGCTTTAGAGAGGAGTAAATTCGGAGTCAGGTTTGATTTCTGTCACTGAAAAGAGTTAAGTGTAAATCCCACTACCTGATGCTACTCTGCGTGGAACAAATGTGGCATTACGTATAATATCTTAGTGTAAATATTTCATATAATTAATATTGTTTTGGTTCTGTATAGACATGAAGAGATCAGTAGATGCTTCAATATTACAATGTAGGAAAGGTACGTCTTATAATCCACAGCGGCTTGTACAAAATTCAATTTCTTTCTAAAAATCGGAGCCTGTGGCTTATAGTCCGGGGTTTGGAGAAACTGTTATTCAACCACCATCAAGGTCTTGAATTTGAAACTTAATGAGGACATAACGTGTTTGTGTCTGCCATCGATGACACCTGTCATAAAAGGAACATGCCTTGCATACAGTACTTCTGTATTCAGTCCTGCCGTATCTCTCTGTGCTCTGCCCCTTCACATCAAAGGCACTGCTCCCATACAGACAAATTTGCAAGGTGGACAAATTAATGAAAAAACAAAGTAGATAATGGAGTGGTAGCTCGGTGGTCATAAGAGTGGGGGGAGCACGATGGAGGTGATACAGGTGGAAAGAGCCTGTTTAACAACATGTTGAATACTGTATATAAAATATTGAACACCTGTTTGGGGATCATCAGCTATTTGAACCGCAACATCTACAATAATGTAAGCCTGCATTGTGTCTTGCATTTGAAAGCCCAAATGAAAAGACCACTTGGAAGCATCATGGAGCCTCATCTATGAGAGAATATAAATGCTTCAAAAATGCATAATTCGCAATAAAGACAATCTTGGAGGAAAACACCTATAACATGGTCAAAAGGGAAATGTTGCATGTTATGTCCCCTTTAAGTCTATATGCAGATTTCCAAACAATCAAAAGTCTGTCATCCTAGTGATGTTTTTGGAAAGCAATACCATCTCTACCCATCTCGGCGTGTTGTTGGAACAAAGTAATTCAGAGAAAACTCAAAGCGGCTGGGGTCAGAAGAGAGGAAGGCCGGAGGAAAGGAACGCACAGTTTTATGGAGAAAGGAGTTGGTGCCGTGCCCTTATCTAACATCGGAAAAAGTCTGCAGCTCACAACGTCCAAAAATAAGAAGATAAGAACACATCTATCCAGCGAATGATTCAGAATAACTCTCAGTAGAAAAGTGTTTTTTGGTCAGTGTTAGGTGGCAGGGTATAAAATCTACAAAGTGCACAAAGAGAAGCTAACTCCGTAGCTTCGAGACACACACACACTCTTCCTAGACTACTGTCCTACTCTATGTGCCCTACCATAGTATATGTAAGTGTGAAGGAAGGGCTTGGCAGTGAATGATACACTGAAAGACCACATTTGAAATCCGTCTCTGCGTTTAGCTTACCACCGCTGCTTGTACATCGTTTTGCTTTCACCGCAAATGGTGGATGGGTTTTTCCCGCAGAAAAAGCAGTTGTAAATCAAAGAACTAAAAGCAGAAACTCACCGAGAACTGATGTATTGACATTTCTTACAGTGATTGGATTTTCACGTTTGACAATAATATTGGTATACATAACTAGCCACTTGGAACAATGTGGCGGCAAGAAAACATTTAAATACAATTTGAAAGTGATTGTTCCAAAGGGAATTAACCTTAAATAAAATAGAAAGCTTAAATCAGAACAGTCTGAACATTACTTTCAAATTTTAAACAGTTAGACCTGCCAATACTCACAGCTTCCTGATTGCACAAACTCAAGTCAAATCCTCTCTATGGGTCTATTCTCCTCCAGAAAATAAAGCTTATTTGTGGTTATTCCAAGGGGAGGGACTATAATTATTTTTTTTCTGTTGGCTAGGCCTTTAAAGAAATTTGGCAAAAGTAGAAAAAAACCCACTTATGTCTGGCAAACCAAGTACATTTCAATAACTTTTAATCTCCAAATTGCCCTTCTGACGCATCAATGACAAGCCCTTTCTGCTTGTGTGTGTGTGTGTGTGTGCATAATGAGCCTGTGGAGGAGCTAGCGTGAGCACAGGGCGATAGGAAGCATGCATGACCTGAAGTCCAGTTAAAAGAGGAAGCTATAAGGTATATGCTATAGTATCGGTCTGTGAGGTCTAGACGGCGGCTAACACCGGAACACACACCTTGTCCTGAGAGGCTTTGACTGATGGCGGACATGTTTGGCCCGCATGTTTATTGTTTTGGAATGTTCAATTCTCGTACTGACATTGTTAGCAGTTTTAAGGTTTTTTTAAAATCTTTTGGATTGTATTGACCAAAATCTTCAAAAAGCCTCAGTGCATGAAGGCAGTTTTTGCCTTTGAACGTTGTAAAAAAGCACTTGAAAGGTGCAGAATGCCTGTTGAGTACTGCAAATGAACTAGTTGTTTTTAAGAGTCAAGTACATGTTATTGTTTTCATCCTTTAGTTTGTAGGTCAATGTGAAAACAGGGCCATTGTGTGTGTGTTCAAGTGTTGGGACATCAGCAGGCAGGTCTGTACCTCCTCAGACTGCTTGTGCGCTGGTCTAGTCTCTTACATAGATAGGATTTCTATTCAAGTCAAGGATTATCTTGTGTATTGTACTACTGAAGCCATGCCGGCAGTGCAGTTGGTGGCTCAGACATATGGGCTGACTGTAGAAATCATAGTGCAACAGAGTGTCCTGGGAGAGGGGTGGGTCATGTGTGTGGCTGTGTGTCAGAGAGGGAGGGGTCTACTGTCCCCTGCGTTCCCCAAGAGGCTGGTGACAGGCCGGATTTGTGTCCTGTCCATATCCCTGTAGGACACAGTGTGTACTGTCAGTTTGCCTTCACACACAGCTCCAGGCAGTACAGAATGCCACAGCGCACACTCTTCATCCTGTGCCTCCAGGAGTCCCGGGGGAGCCCACCTGCCCCAGAGAAGTGATAAAGAACAGTGATTTATTTACTGCACGTTAACCTCGGAGTGTGGCGCTGGCCCGTGTGTGTATGTGTAATAGAGCCAGTCCCACACACAGCTCTGTCCCAGTGTTCATGTCCCTGCATGTGTACATGTCTTTCACTGTGGCCGGTCACACATCAGACTCAATACTGGGCATGCGGCGGTAGAGGCGTGGCCTGTTGCCCCCAGCGCTGGAGGCCCGTGGTGCTGTCACATAGCTGATGGGCTGAGAGGCGGCAGGAGCCACCATGTAGGCCACCACTGGGGGCTCTTGTGCGGGGTAGAAGGCCTGCTGCTCCAGTCCACTCAACTGGTTCATATGGTGGTTGCCATGGTTTCCCAGAGTGAGTGACAGTGGCATGCGCTGCTTGTACAGCTCATGGGCTGAGCTTCTCTGCGGTAGGCGGGTCACAGGCTGGGTGGCAGGCTCCCTCTGTGCGGTGCCAGGAGCTGATTGGGTGAAAGGGTTCTGAGAGGGCCTGTCAGGAAAGAGGCTTTTGGAGCGTCGGGGCAGGGGCATGGGAGCGTCTAGGCTGTGGTGGTGAGAAGGTGAGGGTGAGGGGGGGCTGCGGCTGCTGTAAGGCCGGTCTGAGCGCATGGTGAGCACATTGGCATAGGCTCCCTCGTCCAGGCCCAGCCCGTCTCTGTCAGACAGCCCCAGCCCCCTGAGGAGGCCCTGGCGCTCTGGGATACCATCTGGAAGCACGTTCTCGTACGAGTGCTGCCGGCTCAGCTGCAGCTGCTGTGCAGATGGAGAGGGTGGAGACGGCTCAAAGTGACTGACCAGCCCGTCCCCCTCGCCCACCAGGCCCAGTTCGGCCTGGGGCAGGTAGTGGGTGAACATGTCCCCGGGGTGGGCCTGGTGGCTGTAGTGGGAGTGCAGGTGGTCCTCGCTGATGTCGTACAGATTACCCAGGTGAGCGCAGGCATCACAGCGTGCCTGGGGGGAGCGCACAGTGTACAGGCCAGAGTAACTGCTCAGTTTGGCCAGACAGGAACGACAGTGACCCGGCCGTACGGCCTGTGTGCCTGTGCCTCCTCCATCGAAAGATCCAATGCTTTTGTCCTTCACACTGTCAAGAAAAAGAAAAAAATATGGTGAAAAAATATGCAAACTCAGAAAACACTTAATGTGAAAAGAGTCCAATAATAAATATGTATTCATGGAAAACAATGAGCCAAGTGTCCAACCTCCAGAGGTAAGATCAAATGCATATTGAAAAGCCGGCCAGTGTGTTTGGAAGGCGGCACCCCTGCTGGGAGCGTGAAATGTCCCCCTGTCCCCACCCCACATCCCATCTAATGAGGACTTGCATCCTGTCAGTCTTTAATTTATAATCCAAGCTTACTATCATAATTTGTGAATGCAGCCCATTTTTCTGTTTCACGTCGTGATGATGGAAACCTGAAACTTGTCTGATATTAACCCAAACTCATGGTCCCACCAACCCAGGGCAACACCAAGTAAATAATAATGTATCGGTTTTTTAATAGTGCCATTATTATTCATTATTGATTCACTCCATACACGGTGGTGATAAACTTCTACTGTAGCCACAGCTGCCCTGGGGCACACTGACAGTGTTGATTGGATCTAGTCTTGAATCTGATCCAAGTCCAAGTTTCCATCCTTATCATCTAGTAATAACTAGAAATATTGGCTGCCCATAAGGAGAACTCCTCATAAAAAATGGTAAAAATGGAATCAATCACAGAGGTTTCTGATCTTAAAGATTACAACTTTTTTCCTATACATACATATATAGTAGATATTTGCTTCCTGTCTGTTTTGCATGAACTACTCCAGACACCTTGTTCAGACGCCAGTTTGTTAGGCCCTAGTCCAGCCTTATGAGTCTGAGGTTCAGCCGGTTCCATGGGCACTCTATGATCCCAGTCTGTGCCCCGTCGTGGTCTGGGCGATCATGTTGTTCTTTTTATCAGCGAATGAAACGATTTGGCCCCAACAGTGATCATAAAGTGCCACATATAGCCCTGATCAGAGAAGGGACCTCTCTATGGGGCTGCAAGGCTGGACACTGCCACACCTCTAATCCAGGCAACTCAGTCTGGCTAAACACAGTCCCTATTTCTGTTCAGAAAATAACAAGGCCTAAAGTATTAAGAATGCCCATCCAAATTCAAAGATCAGCATGAAGTGCAATGTTTCTGGTTTGTAGACATAATTGTTTGTAGAAGTAATGAGGAATTCACAAACCAACCATCTTTTAACAATTGGTTGAAAGGCATTACTTGTGTGTCAGTGTAACTTTGATCAACTGTGCAAAGTGAAACAGCTCTACTCTTAGGTCCCTGAATGCCTCGCTCTGCTTCAGTGTGATAGAGTGAAAGTCATTGGACACGCCTTCAAAGAGCATTTTGATGTCCACCTCTGTGTGTTTTAGTGGGTCATAAAATAAGTATCAGACCTGTGGCCATAAAGGGGCAGACTTCTGTGGAGAGGGCTGAGAAGTTAATTTTCAATAATCAAGACATATTGTGCCACTGCATAGGCATAATATTTTATAGTGAGGGGAGATACATATTTTTTGTTCATTTTAAATCAGACTTATTCTCAACAATGTTCATCATGTTTCCCTGAGATAATAAGTAAATACAAGGCTGTATTTACTCATTCTGGACTAAACATTGATATGCATAATCATTTTTAAGGTGGTCCTCAGTTTAGGAGAATAGGTGTGATTACGTTACAGATCTGTCCCATTGTCATGCCATGATGATGGGACCCCCTGAACCAGCCTCTTTGAGTCTTGGATCTGAATCTACCCAAGGTTTTTCACATTTTTGTTCCCAGCACTTTTATTTTTCGAGTTGTTCCATTTCGATGAAGGAGGGTCGAAGTGATGATCGGGGGACATTCTAGTGCATTTACAAACCCACATAGGGAAATGTATGGACATTTATGCACCTTTATTAACACTTTAGACATTGGTCTCCCATGTGTTATGTGTTATTATTGTATTTCTAAGTTTCTGGAAACTTTCAGACAATTTTGTAAAGTCCTCCGAGATGACTGCTGTTGTGAATTACGGCTATATGAAATTAACTCAATTTCATTGATTAAAACTCAACGTTACATGCCCCAGAATGCTGAAGGAGTTTGAAGTCACTCTATTCACTAATGCGGTGTTCCAGTGAGCCCTCAACTTTATTCTTTCACTAACTGAATTCATTTTGGTCAGAAAAATACAAATCAAATAAAAAAATAAAAATAGAATAAAATAAAATAAAAAATAGAATAGAATAAAAAAATACCTTCACAAAAAAAAAAAGGTTCTAATCTAATGTGGGTCCATCCTGATCCACATTAGATTTGCTGGTGTGAAGGTGTGCTTGGAGCGGGCGGGTGTGGAGGGGGTCGTACCTGCTGTGGGTGCTGTAAGTGCTGTACTTCTTGTCTTTGAGTGAGTGCAGGTCAGCCTCGGCGCTGTGGCTGTGGTGGAGCAGACTGGCACTCAGCTGCAGGATGGGCACATCCATCTGGGGAGAGTGGGCGTACGTTGAGCTATCAGTGGGGAACAGGTCAGGAGGGTACGGGTGCTCCTCGCTGCCCCCCTGGCTCTCACGGTGGTAGGGCAGTGCCGACTGAAGGCTGGCCTGGTCTGAGTCTATGGAGTAGATCTGCGGAGGAGAGTAAAGACAATGGGTGAGAAGTGGAGGAAACACTCTCTTCAACAGATAGAGACCAGTGATTGGTGGGAGAGATGTAGGGTCAGCGAGTGTTTGGGCCTGTGTCTTGCCTGTGTGGATTGTTTTGTTAGTACAGTGGTCACCCATTTATCGTGTGGATTATCGTGGCTCTTCAGTGCTCCTCGAGTGGATGGAGCCTTTTCAAAAATGGAGTGGGAGGGCTATATTTTATTTCTAGTTTAAATGTGGTTTCAGTAGGAGGAAAAACATTAACGTTTTTAAATGTTGTAAAAATATGATAATATAAGTAATAATCAAATTCAACATTTCTGTCAACGTAGTGCGTCATATCCTCGCGGCGGGCGGCTGCTGTAAACAAACTGGCGTGTGCGCATCATGGATCTATTATAATAACGGTGCGCATGGATCCCAAAGCTAAAAAGAGAAAGAGTTGATAATAAGAATGGACTAAGAATAAGAAAGAACATTTGCTTTCAGCCAATGAGGAAGGACTGCTTCATGTTTGTAATGAGAAGTTTTGTTGCAACACGAGAAACAATGAAGCAAAAAACACAGTTCACTGAAAGATTCTTTCATCAGAAATTCAGAGCACCTATTTTGAGAATTTAAAAACCTCCGCAAAGATGGTGAAAGAAAGAGCCATTGAGGACATTAATTCAGCTCCAGCAAACTTCAGCCTGTGATGTGATGGATATGAGCAGACAGTGCTGTGATGCAGGTGAACTCTGAGCCAAAAAGCAAATTTATTTACTGTATTTCTTGCATGAAGTCAAAAAAATTGAAGTTGAAGTTAAAGCAGAGGCGTCACGTGGTGCGTCATTCTCTCCAGGACATGCTGTAGTGAAAATATACTTATATTTGCTTATTATGTATTTGTAGCCTTTACTTTGTCATTCAGATATTAGGATAATTTAGCTAATACACCTGCTGTTATTTTTTTGCGGCTCCAGACAGATGTAGTTTTTTTAGTTTTTTGTCAAATTTGCCTCTTTGAACTTTTTGGGTTGCCGACCCCTGGTACAATTAGATTCTGTCTGGAAAATACAGTTGAGCCACAAAAAACGAGTCCAACTTCCGGTTGCGCCAATTCGAAAAAACAAAATGAAATGGGGCCTGGGTCTGTGGTCCGTGTCCTTTTGCGTTCAATACATTTTCTATTTTTGAAGGGAAATGCATCAAAAAAAGGATGTGGAAACTATAAAATGCAATAATTAACCTTTTTTAATATGTATTTAATACATTTCGGCGTCAATCCATTACCCGGAAGTGAAACAAGTTTGCTTACTTGCTTAGTGGTACGGATTCCCCTACCACTAAAAACATGTACAATAGGCGACCCCGCTCCCATCTGTGTGTGGAGTGAAAGGACAAATTCCCCAAAACAAAACAACTGTAAACCTCTTTGTGACCCTGCCCTGTGAAAGGCAGTATATAAATAAAGATTACTTACTACTACTACTAAGAGATCGCGCGTATGTTATCAGAGTATGTGGTCCTCCGCGATGATCACAAATTACCAGGGGTCCACAGGTAATACTAATCCCGTGCGAATAGGGCTGAACTAAACAAACTGGTTTCACTTCCGAGTAATCGATAGACGCCGAAACGTATTAAATCAATGTTAAAAAGGTTAATTGTTGCATTTTATAGTTCCCAAATCCGGTTATTATAATGTAAATGTCTTATAAGAAATGAATTTTTTTTTTACTTTCCATTTCCCTTGTAACAAATGTACATGGACCACCCTTAACTGTGTCTGGCTTTACATGCATTTTGCTCAATCAATTTGAATGGCAGCAAAGAACAGCTAATGTACAAAAAAAATGTATGCATGTTTGCCTCCAGGTTTGGTCAAATGCTAAAATTTGGAATGAAAAAAGGTAATTCATCCTCCTTGTAATGTCTAATATATCTTTTAAAGGCATATTGCTGATCTTGGTGTATTCAGAGTATTCAGTATTCAGAGAGTATGAATGCGGACTGAAATCTGCGTCACTCCCGGTGCCTCGGGGAAAAGGCTGTTGGAGCACATTTTCAGATTCAGATTCATTTATTTGCCATTTGCAGTAAAACCACATTGGAAAAATGTGGTTAATAATTTGTAACAAACAAACAAACAAACAAGTAACTTTCTAATAAAGCCGTAGATGTTTTTATGTTTTATTAAATTAATCCAATGAATCCAATGAATCATGAGCAATTAGTTTGTTTTTTCTTTATTATGTGAATATTTTATTTGCTGCATTTCTGGCCAGATCCTAGTTTTAAGAATAATGGCTAATGTATATGTACATACACAGTACATAAATAAACTTTTAATGACCCAGTAGGTTTCTGCTGTTGTCTGCTTGATGCACACACTTGTTTCTATAACGTGACAAAGTCTGTCACAGCACACTTTACCTTTCCTCCTCCACCACTTCCCCCTCCTCCTCCTCTCTTCCTCAGCTGATTGACAGGCTTGAACCCTCCCCTGGTTGCCATGGAGTCTGAGTCCTTGTGAGAGGGGGGCCGGCTGGAGCACTCCGATATGTCCGAGTGCGGGGGCTCCTCAGGCAGGTACCGCTGGCTCTTCATCTGTGTTGGCTGTTGTGGCGGCACCCCCTGGCCAGACGCAACTGAGCCCCCTCCGCCCCCGCCAGGACTCTGGGCCCCCGGGGTGGGGGGCACCGGCTGGGTCTTCAGGGTTTCTACGCTCTTCTTCCATAGGGCTCGGGGCTTGGAGGCCGTGGCGTTAGCGATGGCGGGCAGCTGTGGGGCGGGCTTATGGTTGTCCGGGCTGGTGGGGAGGGGCGGGCCCTTGGGTTGCCCGGCAAATGGGGTAGCGTTGTTGAGCAGGTTCTTATGGCGTCCGGTCGACAGCGACATGAAACCCTGCGGACTGGCCGCGTTGCCATAGAGACCAGGGCCCTTCGGAGCCAGGCCGTGAAGCGAGTTACCTAGGAGACAAAGAGACAAGGAGACAGCATGGATGCACAGCCAGACACGAGGGAAAATATACACCCATTCACAAAACCAGCCAGTGCATTCACTTTCATCCTATACTTGAGCGAGGTCTATGTTAATAACAGTAATGACCAAGTGGCAATAAAGCAGCAGTAAAGAGCAATGATTGTTATTGATGACACATTGAAACACATTACATTAAAGGGCACACAGTTGTTCATGCTGTGCTTGGGGGTATTTTGAACAATGAAGTAATCGTCGTGCTGGGCCCCGGGCAGCACAGAGCAGGACAGGAGTAGACTGAACAAGCTGGTCAGGAGGGCCAGCTCCACTCTGGGCTGCTCCCTGGACTCTGTGGAGGAGGTGAGGGACATGGGGGTTAAAGTCACCTCCATCATGGACAACACCTCCCACTGCTCAGGACTGTAGAGGAGCTGAGGAGCTACTTCAGTGGAAGACTGAGGCACCCTCAGTGGAAGAAGGCTTGCTACCGCAGGGCCTTTATCCCCACCGCTGTCAGACTGTACAATAAGTCACTTGCACTAGGACTGAAAAACCTGCACTACTATTGACACTGTTTCTTTATTTGTCACTTTTTAATTGACACTTTTTATTGTACATAATATACCCTGCATTTAACATGTTTTCACATGTCTTTCTTTTGCACAATCTTGAGTGTTTCTATCCATGCCAGATGTGACATGTACATTTCTCCTGTGTGAGATCAATAAAGTCTATCTTACCTTATCTTATCTTGTCTTATCTCCAGTTTGGTCTCTATAATCATACTGGAAACTAGAGATAGGACGGGTTTGAATGTCATTGATGTCGGTTTAAAATATCACGTCAATATTACAAACCATCATCTCCCATTACCAGCTCTAGAAGGCTACCTGCTGAGGGACAGATCCTCTCTCTCTATACCATGTGTCTTTGTTTGTATGAATGGTTTCTTTTCTCTGTATGGCCTGGCCTCCTCCATTGGCACCTGTGGACTCTGAGAGACGCCTCAGTTCTGCATCGCATGGCCTCATTCTGCAGCCTGAGTCCTGGATCTATAGCCCCACAAATGGACGGACCCTCAATGTGGGCATGCCCGAGGTATCTCACCTTTTTTTCACTGAGTTTTTAGAGGTTTTCCTTGAGGATAAACGAGGGTCTAGGGCCAGTGGTGATGATCCACAACACTTGACATTCAACCATATTAATGGACCTTATCAACATTTATGGACATTGGTCATCTGCTCCTAATGGACCAATGGCTATATGTGTTTTTTTTTATCGTTGCATTTCTTGTGTTTGAACTGTGTGATTTTCTGATCTGTGTTGGCGAATGAACAAGTTTGAAAAGTCCAACAACTGTTGTGATGTAGGGCTCTACAAAATGAAATCCAATTGAAATTGAATCAATTTGATTTAAATGTCCTCTTTAATATCTACGCCGAATATATTAAGCCTCAAACTCATTTTTGTTAAAACAGATTAGACACAAGACTCATCTCATTAGAATGCCTTTGTTGTCTGTTCTTCATCAGAAATAGACCTGTAGTTTCATTTACGAAACAGTGCGGGAAACTTTCACTATAAGAGTAATCAATACTTTGGCTTTTAGTTGGAAGCAGGTTTTAATAAAAACCACACACATCACCCCAGCAATGTTATTTTCATTTTAAAGAAGAACTATCTGATGATCACTAATTTAATGTTATTACTAAACATATAATGAATAACAGGCAGAGCGCACAGAAAAAGGGTCTCTTTTATGAAACAAATATCAAGATTCCAAACATATATATAGATGTTTCAGGAATCATCACAGCAGGCAGAAGCTAGTTATGTTTTCTTTCAAACATTAACTTTTTTCTCTAAGCTATGATTTTCCTTGCAGCAAGAGTCTTTGGTTGTTTGCATGTACCGTGAAGCCCATGTTCTCTGGTGGTAGCTCACGGCTAATGTATTCCTCACCATGGTGTCCTTGTGACTGAGACTCACACTGGGATTACAGGGTGTCCAAGGAGATCCCAGTCACCTCAGGGATTGCGTGGTACAATGCAATCACTTTAGTAATTACAGTGGCCTTTCCATACGTCCTATTAGTGCCCAATGTACACTTTTGTAATCATACTTGAGTACAATACTTTATTCATTTTTTTTTTACTGCTTAACAAAACATTTTTTATAGACATTGAAAAATATTAAGTCATAGATTTGAAATCAAGCTGTGATTCCACTATAAAAGCTCTTGTATGTATGAGACAACTGGAAAAAATATGTTATTAGTTTTGTATGAGTTGATAGACGAGTTTAAGAGTGAGCAATGTTCCATGATAAAAAATGATAACCATTTTGCTTGATAAGTTTCCTTTAAGGTCATCCACATCCAGAGAATTCCTGCTTAATTTAAACTGGTGCTGTCAAGCGATTATAATATTTAATTTCATTATTGTCTCGTGATTAATCACAATTAATTGCATTTTTTCACCTGTTCTAAATGTCTTGCTTTTTACAGTGTATAGAACGTTGAGCCGTGATCTATCTTGGATTAATGTGGTTGTAGTGTGTGTTTGTATTCAGACACAACATTTGGTTCATGATGCAGATTTGATTCATGATCAAGTAATGACCATGTGGTCTTTATTCTCATTGGCAGGAAAGAAAGAAATACGGAAATGATCACATTAGAAGTACTATGGTTGAAAGTATACATACATCTGAAATGTACAGTATGTTCTGCTTAGTATTGATCAGAAACGCTCACACCTAGTTACTGTCCACTGTCTAGTTACGTTTGCAGACGTGATGTGACCGGCTTCAGCCCCGGCCTGTGCGTAAGCAGCGCAGAGGATGAAACTGGCTCGAGCACACAGACCTGCACCGGCCAGGCGCTTGTCGTAGTCATAAAAAATACATATGTCACATATGTCACATAAATATGTGATTAATTTGAACTGACACTAAAAATGACCACCACAGAGCACAAAAGAGCATTCCCTCCCCACGCAGTCGACACCATCACTAGGCTGTGCAAAGGTCCTTTCCCTTCACCCATAACAGTCATTTAGATTAAGCGCACAATGATGGCCGTGAAACGTGACGAGATTATGGCTATTTGACATTGACTCTTTTAGTGCAGCGGTGTAAAAATGTCATCTGCAGCGCGGAACGAATGAGCGACAGAGATATGTGACGTCTTCTGACATTTCCCCGTCAAGTAGGTGAGCATAAGTGTTATTAGCAATGATGACGTAGTAGTTTGAAGAGCTGCTGTCTTCATAAACTCTACTCCATGCACCAAACACAGACCACCAAGACCTCCATTCATGACTTAAGGCAAAGAGGAACCGAGTTGGTTACCCAGTTTACCCAGGAAGTACCTAATTTCTAACCCTGAAGAAACATAAAATGTATACATGTGTATATATATATATATATATATATATAGTTGTATTAATAGTTGTTTTAAAACCCATAATTTAATTGAAAAATTCAGCTAATTGATTCAGCTTGTGTATGAATTAAGGCCATAAAAAGTGCAGAGTAGAAACTGTGTGACGCTAGTTCTCCTAGGCCACTCCCCCTCAAGCGTCTGCAGCGCATGTAAACAACAGCAGCATGGTAACTGCATACACAGCAAAACAACTCAAAAGACGAAACAGTGAGAAGGAGGAGAAGATGGAGCGAAAGAAAGAAGAAATCAAGCCCAGGTGAACATAGCTTGCTTACATCGTATCGTCTGGAGAGAGACCTGCAGGTCTCTCCAGACGATACGATACGATCTCTCCTATATATATATATATATATATATATATATATATATATATATATAGGGGCTGGTGCTAAAATAATCATATTTGATTCAATTCAATTAATTGTTGTATAGCCCTAATATTACAACAGCACAGAGTTGTCATCACAAACAACAGATCAGAGAATCAAACCGTTCCTACACAGGACATGCCATACTAACAAACACATAGGAGCCATTGGTCCATAGGGAGTGGCATGACCAATGTTAATAAATCCTTCTGCATCTGCAAGGAATAATTCTAAGAAATCCCAGTTCGAAAATAGTGACTCTCTGTACTACTACATTCATACAAATAAATACATGACATTGTTGTGTAACTTACAAAATTAGGTAATTGAGTCACATCCATGATATTTGGATGGATACATAGGTTGGCCCATGTGCTTGGTTCTCTGATCTGTTATTGGTCAAACAACAACTTTGATCACAGAAGTAGTTGTCTTGCCAGACAACTACTTCTGTGATTCAGGGATGTACAAAAATTAAATTAAATTGATTTTTAGTCTTCCGTCCCAGTATATACCAGGCCCCACACTGCTTAGCCTCCGAGATCTAAAGAACGCAGTATGAACCTGTATGAAAACATATGATGTTGTAAAGTTATTGTTTGGTTTAAAATTATAATATACAAAACATATGTATATTCTCTTGCTGGAACGTTGCACAGCAGTTAAACGGATCTCTCTCCATGAACATAAACAAAAGGCAGGTCACAATAACAAAGCATGCAATTTTATGTCACGAAAAATGAAATTGAATAAATGCAAGATAGATACTGTGTTATCTACATAATTAGATGCAGACAGCACACAACAGCCTGATGGCACAGGAAGTCTGATGAGGCATGGTGGCCGATGGCTGTACTGCGTCACTTTGCATTAGCCTCAATATTGAACGCAGTGGTGCACAGTCTCCAGCAGGGGGCCAGTGGAATATGCTCTGTTATACCTTGCAACTAATACAAGGGACTTCTTAATATTACAAAGAGCTTGGTATTCCTCCTCATACATCCACTCCTTAAAGATTTGGAAACAAAAATATATATCAAGGTAAAACACAAAAACTTGTTTTATTTATCTAAAATAATAACATTTGCAACACTATAGACATTGTCATTAGTAATGTTGCGCTATTTTTCGTGAGACTGAAAAGTTAAAACTTTATCATAACTTGCTTCTCCCTGCTATAGCTGGAATCTCTGAAACTCTATGGGCACAATCCGGGTTTGCTCGGACACAAAGTTCTAGGACAGATGTATATTTCATTTCCTGATGTGCATGCGCTGCACCAATTCTGAAATATGGAAACATTTTTAAAAGGTCAAATAAACAAATAGGATCAATTAATTCATAAAAACAGAGCTTGAACGGTTAACATGCTTAAGCCTACAATTCCTTTAGAGGTGGTTCACACAGTCTCACCTTGAGCCAATGTGTCTCTGAGCTCTGTACATCTGGCAGTGTGTGCTCCTTGACCACATTCACACATTATTCAAGCCATCTCAAATCTTTTTCATCCAGAGAGTTACTTTCTCTGGGCTAAAAGGGCAGAGAAATTCTTTAAATATCCAATTATATGGTATTGGTACTGTTACTATCAACTGTCATTATTGTTGGCCATAATTGCATATGAAAGCCGGATGCCATCAGACCTAAGCAGGACAGGGCCTGGTTGGTACTGTCATGGGAGAGCTCGGGGAGCACTAGGTGCCACAGTGGGGCAGCTGCGGCTGTAAAGCGTCAAACTCGTGTTTTGACCTTAGGCAAGACACATTACCTTAGGCAAGACACATTACCTAGAGCACACTCTTTTGAATGCGCTGGAAAACGGCTGCAAGTCCTAAGTAGCTCTGAAACAATTTTTGTTTTTTGCTTTTGAATTTTTATTTTTTTTGCTTGAGATGTTGCTGCGTACAGTGTTCATAGTTTTGCACTGGTCCAGACCGGAGCAGATTGGATTCATGATCCTAACGAAGCGGATCAGGTGAAAATTCACTGTAGGAATCCCAGTGGCTACTCCATCTCTGCTGCTGTGACCAGTCCTACTACACTGAGAGGCTATACTCCATCTCTTCTTCTGTGAGCTGTCCTGCTCCACCCAGAGGCTCCTCCACCTCTTCTGCAGTGACCTAAAGGGCTGTTGCTGATTATAACTATTTTTAACTTTTTAGAATGATACATTTTATTTTTTATTTTTGTTGCTACTGGACATCTGAATTTCTCCTGGGGGGGATCAATAAAGTATATATCTCTCTATCTATATTATTTTTGTTGTTCTTCTTATTATTGTTTATTATTACTTACATGGTTAGTTGGCATTTGTGGGCATGCAAATCTTACATTTTGGAATATCCAGCAAAGAGCGTTACCTTTCATCATGTCAAGGATATTTGGCTGCAGCATCACAGTGTTGCGCTTGGGTGACGACAGGGCCATGGATTTGGCCGACTTGAGCAGGTGCAGCATGTTGGCCTGGGGACTGAAGTCCAGCTCTGGAGACTTCTTCTTCATATCGATATGCACACCATGGATACAGCTCCAGATGCCCTGTGGAAATGAAAAGAGATAAAGAGAGGGTTCATATTGTTTTTACATGAACATAATCCATTTTTAGTCTCTTTCATAATGTGGTCAAAACAAAACTATTTGTAGCAGTCCATCCATCCATCCATTTTCTTCCCCTGCCATCAGGGTCCCCTGGATTGGAGGGGTGGCAGACAGAGCTGCACCCAGTACACAGACACCCGGCCCCTCACTAATCCTGCAGGTGGTGAGTCCACAGGAGCCTTGATCTTCATCAGGGTCTTCAGACAAAGTGGGGTTACAACGACAGCAGACATCAGTGGGAGTCATGAAGTAGGTATTGTGGTGGGCCCAAACTCACAACCTTCAGGCCTAAAGGCCAATGCCCTACCAACTGAGCCATTGTCAACAACCATTGTAGAAGTCTGAACCTCAAATATGCCAGAGAATACTCAAAAAGAAAATTGGGCAATACAAAGTACAAAATGGTGGGCCATGAAGGTGATTATAAATTACAATATGAATGATTTACTCAATAACAACTTTGAATGTGTGTGTGTGTTTTTCCCTATCTTTAACTAGGAAAGTCCCATCGCGATTAAGAACCTCTTTTTCAAGGGAGTAATTGACAAGAGAAAAATAGTTAAATCTATGTCCCCTTTAAAAGCTCAAAAAGACAGTTTTTTTTTCTTTCGAGAAAAATGTATCCATGAAGCTTTTCTGTCTTTGTCTCATGGGCTTTGTTTTCACGCAAAGCTCTCTCTACACCTCCAACTCATTTTCTCCCCTTTTCAACACTCTTTCGCAGCAGTTTTGCTTATGAAATTAAGTTTAGTTGATGATGTCAGCGAAGAAAGGGCCCTGAGTGCAAGACTGTGTTCTCCTCGGAGTGTCCAACCAACCCCCACCATGTCCTGCCACCAGCCTTGCACCGACACAGACAGGCGCACAGGGTTTAGTCAAACAGTTAATGTGTGAAACGTCTCAGCTCGTCTGGAATAAAAGCGTACACAGACACACCGATGAATAATGGAGGATACCAAGAATGTTTTTTTTATTTGGCGTGTGCTTTTTTGTGTCATAGACAATATGGACCAATTTAAAGCTTGCACGGTTTGAGGGAGGTGCGGGGCATTCAGGGTAAATCGGCCAGGCAAAGACAAATAAGATAATGGAAGACAAAGCAGTTGGAAGAAAAAGTAAGCAGGCCGGCGAGGATTTGTAATAAGGCTTTAAAAGGGGTACGACGTAACCCCTGTAAGAGGATATCCACACTATAGACTTGAACTGACATTATTAAAATATAAATAAAGATATATAAAAATATGATATGAACAGTGCTGTTCATTCAATCCAGAATATTGCATTTTTTTTAACAGGACTAGTCCAAAGCAGCTGGATAGGGCCCCATGCACAAAAAGGCCCCCCAGAAAGATAAAGACAGCATGCTGTGGCCGGATTTTTTCACCAAATTTTAGTTAAAAAAAGTGTTTATGAAACAAAGATTAGCTATAGGACTGTAAAAAGAGGCCATTTTGCTTTGGAAAACAGCTCATGTCGGAAAATTGAATGTTAAAGGAATAGGCCACCGTTTGATATGTACCTGTCTGGTCTTTGTCCGTGTGCTCTGTCATGCAAACGAAGCGCAAACGCAGCCTCTTCCACATTCTGTATAGTAACAACTCCAACAAGTCAGGCTGCTTCTATCGACGGAAGTGAGCCGGAGAGAAGTCTAGGGAGTTAGTGCGCTGCGTAGCGCTCCTCGTATTATTACGCCTCACAATATAGTACCCCTTTTTATCCGCTGAGAAAATCGACATGTTACATTTCTGTGTTACTATACTTTGTAGTGTAACACGTCACGTAACTGTATTTAAATAGGGAACACTATGGAAGAGTTTGGTAGCTTCTAACGGGAGCTGATTTGGTACTATACACTCTGTGGAAGAGGCTGAGTTTGTGCTCCGTTTGCATGACAGAGCACACGGACAAAGACCAGACAGGTACATATCAACTAGTCTAAGGTAAGAACATATGTCAGTATGTAAAAACGGTGGCCTATTCCTTTAAGAAGATGTGGCGGGAGTCAATAAATTACTGACCATATTTTTTTCAAGTACCATAAAATAAACTTAAAACTGTTTTAAAAAAGCATAAAAAAGCTCTTTGCAATACTATAGCAAAATGATCATGCCTGTCTCTCAACTGCGCTGACCTTTCACAATGATGGGAAACTATATCTGTCATTGTACCTATTGATTCTGTTGAGCAGGGGCAGTTCACATACATTATTTCTGTCAATTTCTCTGAGTGGATAGCACTCTCGCCTTTCTGAGTGGCGTTTGCATGTTCTCCCTGTGTCTGCGTAAGTTTCCACCGGGTACTCTGGTTTCCCTTACCACTAAAAACATGTACAATATTTCAGGGTGAATGAACGAGTGTGTGTGTGTGTGAGTGCGAATGTGGGACAATGGATGCAAATTAACCCATGACTACAACCCATGGTGTTCATAAACATGTACTGTCCCAACCAAATAAACAGTAAATAAATAAACACTGCATTATTACATATCCATCCATCTGATATATCTTTCATTCACTAGTTCTTTTACCTGTTGTTACTATTACGGCATTACTACATATCCATCCATCTGATGTCTCAATCTGATTTTTTTTCCCTCTTCTCTGCCGCCACTATTAATTCTTATTATTATTAATTTTGGTTGTCTCATGTGCATTTATTACCGTACCATTTCTTTTTCTAATTGCAATTCATCCCTTGTCTTATCTACCTTTAGGTCTACCTAAAACGTATTATTTATCCATATGCTTATTATCTGTATTAATGTATTAATGTATTATATTCTACATATTAATAATAATGTTGCAAAATGTACTGTTCCGCACACGCGCACACACACAAACCCAAACTTTATCTGTTTTATCCCTTAAGATATGTATTTCTCCACATATTTTAGATGTTGTTGTATGTATGTTCTTTTGCAAAATCAAATTAAGTAAAAAAAAAAAAAAAAAATGATAATAACAGTTTATAGTGATTAGCAATATATGTTTATCTGGGCAGAGAAACCTTTCCACAGATTTTACCAGTAAGTACAATCGCCATAATATTGCATATTTGGAGACTCTCTCACTCCAAGATTCAACCAAACCAAACTTTCCAGTCATTAATTTAACATTGCTGCCAGGAAGAGATGGGCAGACTTTCCAAATGGAACAAAAGCACTCGACCTATATTTCTTGATAAAAAAATCTGAGAACTTCTGAGAAATTTTGTACAAAGTGTATATTTTGTTTTGTCTTGTCCATGCATTTGTCTCCAGCAGGCTAGACTACTGCAATGGTCTGCTCACAGGTCTGTCCAAACAGGCTGTAAAACAGCTGCAGTACATCCAAAATGCAGCAGCTAGAGTCCTGACAAGAACCAGGAAGTACGAACACATTAGTCCGGTCCTCAGGTCTCTGCACTGGCTTCCTGTGGCTCAGAGAATAGATTTTAAAACAGCTCTGCTTGTGTACAAATCTCTCCATGGCCTTGCACCAAAATATATTAGTGACATGTTAGTCCCATATGAACCGGCTCGGACTCTGAGGAGCACAGGGACTGGCCTCCTGCTGGTGCCCAGAGTGAGAACCAAACATGGGGAGGCTGCGTTTCAGATCTATGCAGCTAAGATCTGGAACAGTCTCCCTGAAAATGTGAGAGAGGCGTCTACTCTGTCAATGTTCAAATCCAGGTTAAAGACTGTTCTGTTTGCCTGTGCATACAACTGAAGGATTTTATCTCCATTTCTAATGCACTGTTGTCATTTATTTATTTATTTTTTAAAATGTCTTGTGTAATTTTGAAAGTTTTAATGGTTTTAATCTTTTGTGTGGTTTTAATGTTTTAATTGTGATTCTGGTGTGTGTTTTATGTGATGATTTGTGATGTGGACTGTGAAGCGCTTTGTGTTGCCCTGTGTATGAAAGGCGCTCTACAAATAAACTTTGATTGATTGATTGATTGATATTTTGAGACAGAAATCTAAAAGTAACTTTGCTCATTACAGATGGACAAAAGGCCTCTATCCATTCAAAGTATCTATCTCATGTCAGTATTTGTACTACATTGAGTCGAGTGTGTATAAATTCCTGTAGCAGAGAGTCAAACCCATTCCATAACAACAAAGGTCTCCAAAGTATCCATAAGACATGGTCTCAAGTAAAGGTCCAAACGCAGCAAAGCATACATATTACTGTATGAGTGGCACGCGTCAATACTCTCTTGTCTGTGTTATTGACACTCTTGCATGACCCTGGGATTGAGTATTTAACCTTGCTCTGCAAGATTAATTCTTGTGAGAAGTGAGAATGTGACTGTCATTCTGCTTGATAATCCATCTATCTGTTAGGTTTGGACGTCAACCGACCAATCACAGGGCAGCATTGTGCCTGGGGGCGGGCTGTTGGATTGATGCACTGCTAGTGGGTATGAGGCTGGGGGGCTGGAACAAGAAATGTATTTCTAACAGACACATGTGATGGGAGCATCATTCTAGGTGGACCTGGTCAGTACTTAAATCTTTGGAAAGTATATTTTCTACAAGGACTACTTTATAAAGGAAGCGGCAAGGGCATGTTTACAGACCAAAGTCACCCAAAGCACTTTACAATGTTCAGAGTTCACATATTGTTTCTCTCCACACACGGTGATGACAGAAGCAAGATGCCGAACACACTGGCCCCAACCAACACCATTACATTCATTACATTAATATATACAGGGAGAACATGCAAACTCCACTCAGAAAGGCCCTGTTCCGACCGGGATTCTAATCCCAGACCTTCTTGCTGAGAAACGAGAGTGTTATCCACGCAGCCATCGTGTTGCCCAAAGTGTTTAATGGTGAGCTTAAACTCAGAGCTGTCCTGTATCAGTGGTTTTACGTATTGATGTTGCAGTGGACTAAGTTGTCCAGAAAGGCTGAGGACCCAATAATAAAAAAAAATGTGGATGGTTTTTTTTCTCCTGAGTTATTGTTTTGACAGCCCTCAGCTAACCCTACAACAGCACACCAACAATCCACCTGGTTGAAGAGGCTATGTCATGATTTCCCCCTCATGTTGAGAGGTGAAGGTATGAAGGTCAACCTATTCTTTCAGTTCATAGACATATTTATCATTTGGGATGAAACCCTCTCATTTACATGAATGGAATAGGTTGAAATACTCAGCCTCACTCTGTATTAAAACAGAACGCCTTTCCATTCTGTATGCAATTCCTCTATCTGTGAGCCTTTAGTCCCTCAAATGCAAATTCTATACCACACCGTACATCCACATACACTCATTCCCATTCTGTATCCTCGCTTCATTTCCCCTCTGTTTTCTTTGTGCAATGTCTTTCAAAGACATTGAAATTTTTGCTCTCGTCCGGGGCAATCTCGACATGAATTGCGCACTTGTTTGTTGTTTGGCCCACGCGGATGCTTCAAACATACAAATCTGTCTGCTACTGTAACCTCAATTGCGGCGCTCTGTTCTCTAACTAAATTATGCTTTCCTTTCTCTCCCATTCACACATGTTTAACAGCAGCTCGCGCCCCTCGCTGTGGTGTCGCCGTGAGCAGATAAAAACATTGACACACACGCTTGCCAGTCTCTCAAATCTGTTTTCCCAATGTCTTTTTTCTATGGTGGAGCAAGCCAAGTGCGGGCGATGTTGCACGGCACCAAGGCTAATAGACTTTAATGCGATTTGGACCGGCTTATTGGATGGTGGTATGTGGAAAGCACGCAGGGCAGGGCATTTGCGGTTTTTGGACGGTCAAAGTGCTCTGAAAGGAGGCTTATGTGGAGGTTGTCAAAAGGACAAGGAAGCAGAGGTAAATTTGAGGTGACTTAGTTTCAATAGGATTTGACTGGGGCTAACCACAGAGGCCTGAAAATGTATGAAGTCATGAGGGACTGGGTAGTGTAATTAATGGGAAGAGACAAGGTTTATGCAATATACAGTTGGGTGGAATGGATTTGTCAGAAGCCTGGACTGTTGTACGGTGCAGTTCACAGAGAAGAATCAAAGTATATGTTTCTGGGAATGTAAGACAAAAGATCAAACTTGAAATGTGAAGGAACAAAAATGTATCTGACAGGTTACACATTTATCAAACAAGCAGTTTTCAGACTTCCCTAGTTTGCAGACATGATTAAGAATCAGGAAGTTAAACTATACACCAAAAGATATGACCAACTGTTTAATACTTATATAACATTATCTGTTTGAAATGGCAAATAAACTGAATCTGATCTGATCTGATTGAAATATGCACTCAACACTTTAGCCAATTTTTTCAGAATTTTGATGTGAAACAAACACGAGGTGGAGGCTTGTGGGAAGCCAGGGTACTGTATGGGAAGTGCTCAGGTAGCAATTTGGCTAATTTGGCGCTTAAAGTGATTGTCTGGAACTCAAAATGAATTACAAATTTTAAGAATTGTATTAAATTGACCTCCTGGCCTTAAATGTTGATATAAAATATATCATTTTATGAATCCTAATATTACGGGTATGTCCCGCCTTCCCTTCTCTTAGCTATAGCTTAAAATCCACAATGAGTCCAGTTTAACCAATCAAGTGATGCCAAGGGCTGTCAATCATCGGTGCTCATGCTCGTAGCTGTGCACATGCTCAGTTGTTTGTTTTCACGGACTGAACAAACTGAACAAAGAATTCTGAACATCCGCGCTGAGTTACTCATTTATAAACTGAACCTAAATCCATAATCAGATCATCTGCATATATGTCCTATAATGTTCAATTTATGTTAACAGCTACTGCCGGGTTTACCACGATCGCTTTTTCTGTGCATTAAAACATTATTTTTGTCATGAAAATGTTAACAAATAATTCTGAAAACCTCCGTGCATGTGTATTAATAATGTATATGTATAATGTGTTCTCTGATTAACATTTAAATGTGTTGATTGATTGTTACGGAAACGTAGGCGTAAACCAATCAGAAAGGAAGGGGTAGGGAGCTTGCTTCGTTTTTTTTCAAATCGTGTACCTCTCTCTCTTTTTTCTGACTCCAGACAATCACTTAAAGAGCCAATATGTCACTGTGTAAAGTCCATAGACTGTAGGAAATAGTGGACATAGTAAGTGTGGCATCATCTTCATTGCCCCAGTCTGTTCCCACCCAAGCTATTCACTAGCATTGTCAGTCACATGTATACACACATATCACTGTTGTTGATTGTGTAAAGCATTTTGCATACATCCACAGCTGTCTCTATCCAACCTAAGGGGATTTAAAGACAGCTTTGGGCGTATGTAGAGCTGCTCTCGTCTCTCCTACTTTTCTTGACATCTCTATCTGGCTTTTTCGTTTACTATTTATCAACTCAACTAATGTTCCTCTGTCTATTTTGTGCTGTTTTATGCAATGATTGAACGTGTAATCCTGGAAACCGACCCTGGACCTGTGGACCAGTCTGCAGTCTTCCACCCTCAACTTACTGCCCTAGACTCGTGGACCAGTCCCTAGTCTGCTTTTGGAGAGATGGCAGTTCAATGATGCCCTTGGAGACAGTTGTGAGTTTGGGCATTACAAGTCATTACTTCAAACTGTATGGCACTTTATAGATAAATATTGATGGATGGCTTCCACTAGCTACTGGGTCACATTGTCCATCATATAATACGGAGCCGTCCTTACCCTACTGATGGTGAAGAGCAGGCCAGGCTGCCCAGTGCACACCCCAGTGAAACAGTAACGCAGCCTCCAGTAGAACAGGTGCTCAGATATGAAGGTGAGGATGGCCAGGCCCATGGCGGTGGCCAGCATGTAGAAGACCCCAGCCATGTTGTCAATGTCCAGCTGGCTCGACATCACCTCATTCTTCTCGTTGTGGCAGATGCCGGTCAGCCACTGCGCCTCCAGCTCCTCCATCTCACCTGTACCACAGAGAAGAAACGTTATTTTCACTCGTGAGACAAGTTAGTTTTACCCTACTGATGATGTATTGTTACAATAGTAATTCAAAAAGTACAATGCAAATAACTCACGACATCCCGCTGTAAACTGAATAATTAGGGTCTGATTCTAAATAAAGGACATAGGGCTCAATGTGTCGGATTGTCATTGTTTATTGTTTATTCTCAGGTCTGAAATGATTATGCACCAGCGAACAGTCTAACAGACCCTCCAGTATTGGCAAAGAAAAACTCTATAACCCAGTGGGAGAAAAGTGGGAAACCTCAGGGAGGTCGACATTGAGTGAGAGATCCGCTCCACATGGACGGACGGGCTAAAGATCCAGGACCTAAGCTACAGAACGAGGACCGAGGCCACGCAACAGTTGTAGATCGAGGACATTGCAAGAAATGGCTATAATTTCTACGTTTTGAGTGTTGTATGGTGAATCACTCAAATTATTACCACACATGTGCATAGGACGAAGGGTGAGAGAGAAAAGCGAAATATAGGACCTTTTAAAGGAGTAATGCTATTGAGAACTGGGGAATGGAGACTTATAATCAGAGCCAGGAGTTGTTGATGTTATTATTTATCAATATATGGAAACACACATCCACTACCAAAAAATTTTTTTCGCATTAACAGTCATCATCTCCAAAAGCAATATATCTGATGGTGTGAGTTTTGATGCTACAAGTCACTTTAAGTCACTGCATTAAGACTGAAAAAACCTGCGCTACTATTGACGCTGTTTCTGATTGCTACTTTTTATTGTACATAATACCCTGCATTTAACATGTTTGCACATTTCTTTCTCTTTGCACAATCTTGAGTGTTTCTATCCATGCCATGTAAATTTCTCCTTTGTGAGATCAATAAAGTCTATCTTATCTTATCTTAAAAAGCTAACAGTGTTATCAGTTGTAAAAATCCAATATATAAAACTGTACAGGGTTAGGGTTAATGCAGGTGTTTGGTTTATAAATGTTAAATGGATACATTTTTATAGCGCTTTCCAGATTTCAAGGCACTCACAGCGCTTTAAATCAAAGAACCATTCACTCATATCTTCTCATGCATTCACGACCTCTGGGCGAGGTAAAGTCCCTTGCCAAAAGACACTAATAAACAGTGGAATAATCTATATTTGTCTCTGCACTGACATAATAAGCAACGCTCACGCTGCAGAGTGATAAACATCAATCATTTTTGACGGCCAAATTTCAGAGTGACAAGTTCTGGTGTGGTTTATATTTTCAAAGATATAATCATTGAAAAGCGGAACATTAAGACCAAGATGTTTGACGGAATTCTGAATGTTTGCTACCTGTGTGAGATTCTTTAGTGCTCAGGTTTGTAAAACAAAGTGTAACACTACACACTGGTGAAATGTCAGTGTCTGTGGCGCACGTCTGTGTGATTTACAGAGATCCAGCTGCTCCTATTGATCTAACCATCATCTTGGCGCACCTGTCCAAACAGCCGAGTCTACCAGCGCAAAAGGTTACACTTATATTTGATAATACCCCAGTGCTTCCAGAAAGCACTCTCACTCTCAATAAATGCCATTACACTTTTTCAGGCAGGCATATAAATTAAATTCCTTCAGAGTTTGATTTGTAAACAAAAGGCCACCTGTAACAGTTAGATTTGATCGTGTTCTAAATATGGTCTCACTTCAGAATGATGCAGAAGTATTGAGTACTGCCATAATCTTTCAAAGCAAACAGCTGTTCCGCCAGGTGGAAGTACAATTGCGAAGAGAAGACTAGTAATGAATTTATATTATATAGCGCTTCAGTAGTCACTTTTTATCAGAGGTCACCCATCAAATTTCTAACCAGGCCCTGCCATACCATGGTTAGTAATGATGATCTAAGGTCTAAGATCATGCTTTAAAATGTTTTATTGAAACACACAACAAGAACACATTTGAAGGTCCTTTATTCGTCCCACAGTGGGGAAAGTTCAGTTTTGATGAATACATATATACATACACATCAAGGCATTACTTCTGCACTACTTATAGGCAAAGTAGGTTAAGTGTCTTGCCCAAGGACACAACGACAGCAGAGGAGTCAGTGGAGAAGGTCTCGCGGTGGGCTCGAACCCACAACCTTCAGGCTCAAAGGCCAATGCTCTGCCAACTGAGCCACTGTCGCCCCAGTTGAGCAACACTGTGGATTGCACTCTCGCTTCTCAGCAAGAATGTACTGGATTTGAACCCTGGTCGAAACAGGGCCTCTCTGAGTGGAGTTTGCATGTTCTCCCTGTGTCTGCATAGGTTTATTTATTTTTTTAGACAATCTTTATAATAGAGAGATGCAACCCACTCAGCCCGATGCGTCAAATAGTGACTCACAGGTATGCAAACAATCATAACAATTCTAAATGATAAAAGAGAACGGCATTTACATTATTAAGAGTTTTTCAGCAGGTAAAAACTAAATGTATTATCTGGAAAATACAGCTTAATTACAGGGTGTTTCTGTGTTTGGCTGCAACGAGGGAGTGAGTTACCTACAGTATAGACGACCAAAAACATACAGATACCTATCAGCGTTCAATTCAGAGATGATCCGTGGTGTTGGCAGGTTATGGGATCTCCGAGTGAATGTTTAGTTTTAGTTTTAGTTCAGTTTATTTATTTAAGATGACAGGGACAGTGTACAATAAACATTAACCTCAAAGGGAGATGCATTGTACCAGGTTATAGCTCAAGAGCTAATTTCCACCTGTAGTCCCTGGGCAGGCTGATGTTATATTACATTAAAATAACAGACATTCATGGATGTACGATTTACATTTGGTCAAAATACAAGTCTTTACATGCACAATTTGTTAAAACCTCACATTCACATCGCTCATTTATACAGGTCAATCACACCCACTCACTCTCTCTCTCCCCCCCTCTCTCTCCCTCCCCCTCTTTCATACAGGAACACACGCTACACATGAATGCAAGTTCGGTTTGATAATAACCATTTCTTTAAAAGGCGTGAGGTTTGAGTTCTCAATGTTTTTTATTGATAATCGTCAACAGTTTTGGTCACGTATGTTGTGACACATGACCTCGTGTTTATAGTATCACCGGGCTCATGAGTCTGTGTGATGACACTGACGGGTGGGATTTTACATTTTACACTTTGCAGAATTGCTCAGAATATTGACAAATCTAAAATCCTTTGAAACTCTATACAGGCTTTTTCCAATGTGGTATTACTGCAAATGGAAAATAAATTATTGTATCTTGTATTGCAATGTTTGAATGATGGAAAAATCTCCAATGTGATGCATATATAATAAGAAGAAGCAGATAACAACAGAATCTAAAAATACAAGATTTCCACCTTGACTCCTCAGGAGTATATCCAATCAAAGTCCAACCTTCTATCACTTGTGCCACAATGCTGCTTGACCTGCTCCTGCCACACACTATGGGGCAGGAGCCAGTGCGATGGGATGGAGTGTGTGTTTGCGTGCATCTCCTGGTTTACTGGTCCAGGGAAGCTCAGTGAGGCGGAGCCAGAGCCATAATGGAGACTTATGAGTGTGTTAGCTCAGGTCGAGGATGGCTGCCCACTGCTACGTCTGCCTATCTGTCTGTCTCTAATGCACCCTCTGCAACACCAGTGTGAAGAGAAACATGTAGGGCCTCAAACAATATCTTTACAACTTTTAGAATGTTTTTGAAATGAAAATAAAGTTAAAGTCCTTGTAAAGTCACACAAAGGAGACACACCTTTGTACTGTGGCACGATTAAAGGATCTCTTATGTTTATTTTCTTACACATATTGCCGCTGTTCTGTCAAGTTGGTCTGCCCGTCGTGATGAGCTCCCTCAGCTCTTGATGATGCAATGCAAACCTGCGCTGCGCGTCTCACGGCAGCCGAAGCAAACCAAGATGGCGGACATGAAGTCTTTAAAAGTTAAAATACGGACAAATTAAGACACGAAGGTCACTTTTAATGCAATTTGAGGCGAGATGTTGATGGTTCCATGTTGTGATATGTGGGTTTTAAGAGTAAAAGTTTAGTGTAAAGTTTGTTTTAAGTTTTAAGTCAACTGCTCCCATGAAACCACACTGGTATTGTAACCCAAATCTGATTTGCGCATGCGCAGAAACCCGACAGAATGGGGAAAAATTCGATCTAATTAAATATTTTGTTTGAACACACTATTGTTAATCATATTGAATACAGTATGATACATGCATTAAATTAAATTTATTATTTCCATTATCAACCCGACAGATCAGTCACAGGACGCGTCATCGGCCTACGTCAGTAAAATGATGTATGCAGCAGTCAACTCGAGGACTGCTGTCACACAGTAGTAGTGTGGTTACACAGGAGCAGTTGACTGCTTAAAACAAACTTTACACTAAACATTTACTTAATTTTTTTTTTAGTTTTAATTTGTTCGTATTTTAACTTTTAAAGCAATTCACGGAATCCTGTCCGCTATCTTGGTTTGCTTCGGCTGCTGTGAGACGCGCATGCGCAGGTTTGCATTACATCATAAACTGCTGAGGGAGCTCATCTCGACGGGCAGACCAACTCGACAGAACACCGGCCCACCTCTCTGGAGTCAAGCCATGTCCCGACTTGCTTCAATCCCTCAATCGTTGTCCCGTTCCCCAAGAAGAGCCAGATCACAGGACATAATAACTACAGACCTCATTAGGTAATTTGAGAACCATTTGGTTCTTTCCTATCTCAAGTCCCTCACCTCCACCCTCCTTGATCCCCTGCAGTTTGCCTACAGAGCCAAAAGATCTGTAGACAATGCCATACACTTCAGCTCTGCCTAAGAGACCATCCTGTCATCCTTGCTCCAGAACAAGCTCTCTCAGCTCAACGTGCACAACTCTTGACTTCCAGACAGACAGGAAGCAGCGAGTGCGTCTGGGAAAGAATGGCTTAGACACTCAGATTACAAATACACGAGCTCCACAGGGCTGTGTTCTTTCTCCCA